TTGGAGAAAAGTTGCATAGAGAAAAATCTCTATTCCGATAAAAAATATGACTTTGCAAGAATAATTGATGACATAATTAGAACCTTCTGCATGGAGAATAAGGCAAATGTCTGAAATGTCTGAAACACTGATCATAAATGCTATCACTATTTATCCTTTGTTTTTTTAATATTATTTGGCGTTAAAAATTTAAATGCAGTGGCATTAGAAGTGACTTTTTTAAAAATAATCGCAGCTTATATATACAAGAAAAGAAGATTAAAAATAAATGTAAAAAAAATGAAAAAAAAAAAAAAAAAAAAAAAAAAAAAAAAAAAAAAAAAAAAAATTTAACAGTTAACTTTAGAGAGATACGATATATTCTTGTCTTCTTTCGATATCTTTGTGTATTTATAATATATTTTTTGTTTAAACAATTCAGTCTGCACAACCGAACGATTCTATTATCGCAATATGTTAATGATTATTTTATTATTATGTCTTAAATGCGGATGAAATGATTATAAAATTTTCGATTTAAACGCGAGTCTTTATTCTTGTTGAAATTAAAGCGAATTAACTATTATTAATAACTATAATAATAATCATAAAATAGTTTAGTCTTTAGAAATTATGAGGTAATATTAAATATCAATTTCATTAATAATTAAAATAAACGAGAAGTGTCCAACTAGAAATGCCGATTATTATAATCAATTGAAATTAGCTGTACAAAAGTCATTTAAGACGTTACAGAATAACAATACAAAATTTTAAAAACGATAAAATCAAAATTAAATCGAAGCCTAATCAAAGCATGGATGTTTCTCGAGACAATCAAGTCCCTACGAATGACTTAAACACACAAATTGTTGAAATAAATTTAAATAAATAAATAAATCGCTCAAACTATATCATTTATATTAGACCTGTTGAATTTATAAAAACCTATTAATTATTTTATATTTGACTAATTTCATTAGCCTAATAATACACAATAGTTATTATTGTTAATAGAGGCGCATGAATAGCGAATGAAACGATAATGTTATATAAGGATTTATATAAATACGGAGTCAATGATTAAGAAAGTCAATTGTATTTGAATATGAAAATAATTGATATTTTTGCATTATTGATAATTTTCATGGGCTCTATATAAATAATGAAATATGTTTAAAAATTTTGTTTTTTAGTACGTCATAATGCCGTAATTTAAACTTTTCCTTCGCTACTCAATGGTCTTTAATATATTGATTATAATACACTTAAATAGCAAAAAATGTTTTCATTTCTTTTATTAAACTTAATGTTTTTTTTAATGTTAAATACCATCTGCCCCATATGTCTCATCAATTTTCGTAGAAAAGGACGAAACGAGAGATGTAACAGAAATAGCCTCTGGTAATAATGTTATTATTATCGCAAGTAATTTGAGCAGTTGCATGTGCAATTTAAATATATACGAGGTGTCAAAAGCCCTGGTTAGGTGTGCGAAATTGTAACAAAAAGAGGAAATTAAATCTGTGACACGGGGCTGCCAAAGCTTTTAATAATTGAAAATGAAATGTTGCAGAGATAATATTGATTTTTGGATATGCCACTCAACAATTGCTATATATGGATAAAATATAAACAATTATTTTTATCGTACTTACCTGCTAAACGATTTACACAAGTATTTTACATATATAATTTGTCAGTATTTTTGCAAATATTCATACTAAATTTATACCATTTACAATCATAATCATTATATATTGTTTTTTTTTTTTTTTTTTTTTTTTAAATATTTGCCCTGCAACAAACAGTCTATAATGTAAAATAACGTTTATATTTCATTTGCATAACGACATTCGTCGTTAAAACATTATTATTCCATTGACGAGGGATTGAAAGTAAGTTAAGCTTATTTCAAGTCAGAGCTTCGCTACTTTCTACCATTCGTATCCATATTTGATGTAAATTACCTTATAAAACATGAATAATCTAAGGGACTTAATAGCCAGTGAATTAAGTGATTAATACATGTGGGATCGTAAGGTTAATTGTAAGAATTAATATTTTACAATATTACACATAAGGAATAGCATTAAATAATCAAATAAATGCTATTCCACTTGTTACAATCATCAATTACAATAAGATATTAACAGGAAAAATACTTTTATTTAAATAATTATAATCGAATGCCTAACAATAACATTTTTTTATTTCAGTGAGCCGAAGATTATGTATTTTTCTATAACGTAATTAAGAAAATTAATGACACGCTCTCGTTAAAAGGTCAGATAGACACAGACTTTATAAAATAGTAAAAAATACGGACTGAGCAAAATTACATGGTTTTAATTAAATTAATTGATAGATATGCTGCACGAGCAGTTTACAATTAAATAATTGTAATAATTGTACCAAAATACTATTGATTGAATTAAAAATTTCGTAAATATATTTTAGCTAATTGAAAAACTTAATATTATTCGAGAATGTCCATAAAATACAGAATATTAAAACTGTCGAGGCATTAGAAGTTAATTTTAGTACTCGGGACTTTCAAATTTTTCCTCTCACTACAAAGATGAGGTAGTAAAAAAAAAAAAAATATTTTTCAAACATATCAATCTTAAAATCATTATAAAATACATTTAATTATAAAACGAACTCATGTATACTCATATTCTCGTGATTGAGCGCTTCGTATCAATTATTTGATCGGCAGGGTTTGATATTTTAATGACTTTATAAGATCGTCGATAATGTCCTAAGAAGTGTCGAGCTGACAATGGTAGTCGTTGAATATATCGGCTTTAATGCCTATTAATAGTTTGTGTGTGTGTGTGTGTGTGTGTGTTAATAAAATCCAAAAACAAAAGTGAGTTGAATATAAATACGTTAGTTTTGCATTATCTCATTTTGCTCGAAATATAAAATTTTCTTCTCAGATTAATTTAACGAGACCTCTCTCTAGTAGCATTAGTAGCAAAAACAAAAGAAAAAAAAATGCCAACCAATTATTCATATTTTAAAAATAAGAAACGCGTTTCTTCTCATTTCTAAATTAATTTTTTTTTTTCGTTTTTTTTTTTTTTGAATCTAAGCTTTTTATATTATAAAGATCTTCCGTTATTTTCATGATAAATATTCTTTTAACAAAACTTTTAAAAATATATTACAATACGTCTATATGTTATATGTATATATATATATATATATATATATATATATATATATATATATATATATATATATAACATATTTTTGAGTACATAAAAAAATCGAGCTAATAAACTATAAAAAGTCCTTTGGCACTAAGAATGTGGTGATCTTGTTTTACAGTAAAAACAATATTTGTCTAAATTATACATTAAAAATTGTATTCGTAAGTGAGAAAATGAATTACGAATGACGTTTGGAGTATATGAAAAAGTTATTACGTGAGAGTCGACCGATTTCACGACGAATTGTGAAATATTCGAGAGAATCCATAAGAATTATGCGATGTTTGGTCCGTGTGAGATAAAATATCGGGATAAAAAAACCCACGCATACATTCTTAATTCTACTACATTAAAACGAAGTGACATTATTACACTTGGACAAAAATTTACGTACAAAGTTTAAACTGTAAATGCACCATTTAATTAAATGAATTACTTAATGATACTTAATATCTACTCTTTGATAACTCAAAGGTAACTTACATTCTTAACATTAACTAATCTATAACAAACACAATCAAAGTTTCTTTTTTCGCTTGAAAATTTCACAGCATATTTAGAGAAGCTTTAAAATTTCGATTACAAATAGTTTAACCCAAGTCGTGATAGGCAACATCCAAGTAATGAAACAAAATTAGAAAAAGAAAGAAAGAAAGAAGAAATAGATGAAAAGAAAAAAAAAAAAAAAAAAAATTATCGTTTCAAGCATTTCAGAAATAAAATCAACGATTATTGGGTAAAGTATTGTGTAACGACAACGTCATCAATGATTTATCTACCTAATATGTACATCTGTTTAAAATATCTTTTCGTACGACCGGTCATGCCATACTCTATTAACAACAATAATCCATTATGCCTACTGAATCACTAATAAAAAACTAATATGATTGCTAGTCATGATAGTTGAATTTTTATAAAACAAGAGGATTACCCGCATCTTTGGTAGACAGTCATGTGTAAGTAAATTTATAAGTGTTTAATAAGACTCGAGCCATCGTCGTTGGCAAGATTATTATGAGAAAGTTTACTTTTATTAATTAATTTCTTTGGAATTAACATTTCACTTGCAGCATCCTCCTATCAACATTCGGCACTACTTTTTTCCTCTTTTTACACGATTCATTCTTCGCTTTATGAGTATGTCTTCAGGTTTTCAATCATCGAGACCGAAGCTTGGAAATTTTCAACACACGCTCGATCGGAGATTAAGCTATCGCAATCAAAAATTAAAATATCCAAGCTCCGCTCACGAACTTCGTTATTTCGCGAGTGTCCGCAAAAACAGATTGCATATTAAATAAATACGGCGCGTGCTAGTCAACTAGATGCAACCTCCGCCGACTCTTAACGAGAGCAGATGCTGAGAAAAGAGCCGTGCAAAAGCCATGCCAGGGTCGACGAGAGGCGACAATGCTTTCATCAAGGAGCCTAATATAAAATTCTCGTCATAGAGTTCTTTCTTTACTTTGCCGAAGAAAGTGAGTAAAATATCAAGTATTGCGGATCTGGTAAAATTTACATTATTGCTGGCTTCTCACGTGTCCAAATTTGTGGTAAAACAAATAATTCTATAACACTGACTTTCTAATTTAGCATCCGAATGGGGCTTCGTACTCATTACGAGGTAATTTAGACAACGCGTATCCATTGGTGAGAGATCCGTCCATTTTCCGGATTCAAGCTGCACGAAAAATGGCCCGCAAGGCCACGTGCGGCGCATTTCGATCATCACAATAACAACGCCATTAGACGAAATCGCTTGGATATCCGTAAGATTCCTGATGGCGGCGTGTATACGCGTATTGTCGCCATGGTCGACGTATCTCAGAGGGCAGATTAATTAATGGTACAAAACAAAATGAAAAAGGGACAAAAGTAAAGAGAAAAGAAAAAACGTTACGACGACGACGACGACGACGACGACGACGACGACGACGACGACGACGATACATTGGAAGCAGCTGCGAAGGGGACCTCTGTCGCATTTCCTCTCATCTCAATGTAAATCGACATTAGTTTAAGCCGATTGACGATCTGATCATCATCAGCATAAACTCGAGATTCCGTGAGTTAGACTTTTTTCGAGGACTATGTGAAAGCCACCGAGTGGCTCGAGAATTTGTACGAGAAAGCTCAGTAACGTCGGATTTCGCAAAAACGAAGTTTCTTCGTACATGTCGATGGTCGATCGGGTTTCGCTCATTGGACGTAACATTGGATGCAATAACTGCTCTCTGAAAGACCAAATATCGATTATTTTAAATTATATACAAGTATTGTATTAAACTTCTACGATAATTTCATGATCTTGTCAATGTGTGCACTATATATTAATTACCTCGTAGCCAAGCAGATAAACAGTTGGAATTTCCCGTCTTTGCCAAGGGTCTGGCTAAAAGTATTTATTTGATCGAGCAGGTGACAGTAGCATCTTAAAATGCCGAACTTCTGATTCCTTTCAATGTGTAATCGCTTGTCCCGATTGAGGCGCTGCGAGTACTCGTCCATTTCCTCCAACAATGTCATCTCAAAGTTTTCCTTCACTCGTACTGCCGGCCCAAAGCACATTCAATTCATTACTTACGAGTCACGTCCAGACGTTCATTATTATTGTTAATTAATTTTTTTTTTTTTTCATTATTAAAGTTTTAACGAAGGGAGCAAAACTATTTGCAACATACTTAAATAGTCCCAGACGTAGAAATTTCGGCCAAATATCCTCTGATTCTTGAAGCCGTAAAGAAAAATTTGCTCCAATGATGAAACGAGCCCCCCTTCGCCGCACAATAATGCCGTTAGCGAACCATCCTGGGGCTCCTTTCGATAATGGTACTTTACGATTCCATTTACAGCCTCGCCTAACATATCAAATTTTATGAATAACCATAAAGTACTCGTAGAAAAAGTATTAAAAATAACCTTTAACATTCTTTTTTTTATGCGCGTATTATTCCATTAGCGAAAGAGCTTTTATCATTGTGCAAAAAGTAATTTCATCAGGATCGATTGGTTTTAACGTAGAATTGCTTAATCATCCATCATAAGCGATAGTATTTATTATAGATTTTCAATTATCATTGACACTCGATCGATAATACGTTACGTATGCATTTTCCAATCGAAAGTCCGTAAGCTATATTTACTTACGAGGGGGATGGGGCTGGTGGTGGTGGTGGTGGTGGTGTGAGAGAGGGGCGAGATGGGGCGAGAGAATCAAATGAAAAAAAAAGATGAAAAAAAAGAAAAGAAAAAGAGAGACTGTGTAGGTGATTACCGAGCGCGTGCTTGAGCTCGTTGTGCGACAGGGTTGGTCGCCTGGGTATGCTCGGCGACCTGCACCTCGGTGGCGTCGAGCATGTCTCCACGAGCTCGTCGTTGTCGATGCTCTTGGGCACGATGGCCCCGACGAGGAGCCGCTCGGTCGAGCCGTCGTCGATACCCCGGCCAAGCCATCTCCCGCAGGGAAACTTGAACGTGTGGCCGGTTACCTCGTTGCGCACCACCACGTGCTCCACCATCCACTTGGGCGAGAGACCCGTGTTGTCGTGGCCGATGCGCAGCGTCGACAATACGCCCAGGTTCTTGTGCTACAATCATAAAGGACTGTTACATCATCTTCAACTGGCCCCATCGTCGACGTTTTTTTTTTTTTTTTTTTTTTTTTTTTTTTTTTTGCCGCTCGTTGCCTCGCCCATTCCTCTCATTAATGCTACGTGCGTCGGCAGGGGCTCGTCGTCGACGATGCTTTACAACGAGGCTGCGCACTATGCATTAGCCGTCGTCTAGTCGGGCTCGGTAATTATATAAACTCGGCTTCTCGTGTTATCGATAAAGTCTCTTCGATCGATGCTGGCAGCATTGATTATTATAAACTCACGTGAAAGACGAATTCTAATGCTCCCTTCGGTATCGTCACGGGATTCGTTTCGCAAAGTGTTCCGGATATGGCGATCCAACTGTTGGCCGTCGTCGTCGCCGCGCTCGCCTTCCTGCTGGGAAATATAATCACGCGGTACGGCAATTTCGTCATTGGATAGTTGTTCGTAAAGCAGAAATAGTCGACGGCAGTGAGGGTGAGGAGATGGTATAGGAATTGCTCCTTTTCCTCCTCGCACCTTAAGAAAGCTGACCTCTTGTACTGGCTCCTGCAAATAATTCATTCGGTATTATTTGGATCGGTTGAGTCATTGGTTGACGAGCGACTATTAATGGCCGACGAACAATTGCCGGTTCGACCATTGTCAGACGTACTTATTTATCAATGCTACGCTAAACGAATGGTTGATTTTTTCTTTTGGTTTTTTTTTTTTTTTTTTTTTTTTTTTGTTGCGCAATTAAAGGACAAATTGAGGGGCGCGGTGGATCTGTAAATTTGTGTAAACGAAACTTGGATTACCATAAAACTTGGACCAGCACCTCTGTGTCTCTGCAATTGGATGGGATGTGAGAAAGTCAAAAAGATAATTACCTGAGGAGAGCGGTGTTGGACAAAAGGGCTTTGAGATGCCTGTAGAGAAGCTTTTTCTCGAGGGAGAGTCTGACCCAGGCCCTCGCGTAGCCAATATGAGTTTTTATGTCGGTCATCGCCTGGACGTTTCTGATGTCGAAGATGAGAGAGTCGGGCAATGGCTTCAAGTGTTCCGGGCCTATGGAGCGACGTTCTCCGGTATTTGAGGGCGACTTGTGGCGCTGCTGTTGTTGCTGCTGCTGGTGCTGCTGATGCTGATTCTGATGCTGATTCTGATGCTGCTGTTGGTGGGGATGCTGATACTGATGCTGATACTGATGCTGATACTGCTGATGTTGCTGCTGGTGCTGCTGGTGATGCTGATTGTGGTGGCGATGATGTTGGTGCTCGGGTGGGCGGCTCGGCGACGTCTCCGTCTCCAGGGCGAGGTTCGACAAGTCTGGATAGATGAGCAAGGAGGATTGCGTATGAGAAGAAGACGCATTATGTTCTAGCTCGCTCGTTTTCCTCACCCCACCATATCTTTATCACTACATCAGATCTCGTTGGAAACAATTTGCGTGCAGAATCATCGAACTATCATAATTCACCCGAGGTTATTCAAGATTACAAGCAACGTGCATATATTAAGATGTAGATAGAGTAAACATGCATCTATGGAAAGAATTAGCAGATAACACCAGTAGCGTCGTAAATAATACTCGTTTGCATTTCAAAATCTTATTTCATTATGGTGGTCAATACTTTTCTATCGACTCCTTATCTACACTTGGCTCCCGTCGAAATCTAATAATCCTTCATTTTAACGTACCTCCATTCCTTTATTTTCCATGAGCGATGCAATAGCGACGGAATTCAAATGGATTTATCATAAAACAAATCTCTATTTACCGAAGGATGAAACGATAGAGTAGGTAGCGATATACTTTTATTAAGTAATTTGTTTAATTAATTTCAATGACAATCAGTCAACAATCAATAAAGTTTATTAAACTTTACAATTAGCAAATACACAAATCAATGTAGATAATCGATAAGATTCATTAGCATAAGTATATTATATATTTTTTATTCGTAAAAATCGTAAAGGCAATGCTTTTCAGAGACAATAAATATTTTATTTATAAGTTTTATTCGCGTCGTTTTATCATAGACTTTCGGAATCCTATAGATTACGAGTAAGCAAGTTAGTTAATTTTTGTAAGTTTAGTTTAGACATTATAAGTTCTCGATGTGATTAGTTAAATGCAAAATTCAAAGCTCAAACTCGTCAAATGGTGAGCAACGTTTGATAATAATATAGTTTCGTTAATTGTTTGACAATCTTAAAATTAGAAACATGCCTTTTTGACAAAGTTTTTCAACATTAGCCATCTCACTTTAATATTTAGCTGCAATACATTGTAATACAAGTAATTGTTAACATTATTTTTACATTATTGCAAGATTATACTTAATTATGAGACTTACAAATCTGTGTATAAATTTTTTACTTCTAATTCTACTCCGAAGGCCCATCTTGATGAGATTTAAGTAATGTAAAATTATTAATATAAATCAATTAAATAAGGTTGTAAGTTACAAATATACTATACGACAGATGTGTAGATGTAGAGCAATAAGTGTTAGAAGAATGTGTGTGTGTGTGTGTGTGAAAAAACAAAAAAAAAAAAAAACAAAAAAAAAACAAAAAAACAAAAAAACAAAAAATAAATAAATAAAATGGTACAGAGAGAAGGATAAAATCTTTCGCAAATATTTTTTAACGAATTTGCTAAATAACCATCTTGTATGAAATTTAAAAATTTTCCGCCCTCCCTTTATTGCAATGATCGGAGATTCATTACATTTGTTAAAGAATTGAAATTACTTCACGTCTGCCATTATGATAATTACAGCATATACAGTTTATAGAATATACAGTTTTATCTATCTAATAAATTTTAATTATACTCGCTACGAATAGTCATGTATTCAAGATATTTCCCTTCGTCAAAACAAACTTGTCAAACAAAATAATGGTTAAAAACAAAACAAGATAATGTTAGTTAGCAAGCGCAATTGCATATGATTGTTAGTAATTCGATATTTCTAGGGAGAAAAGATTGCACTTTTAACAAGCCAACCGTTGTAGTATACATACAATTATTAAGTATTATTAGGCTGGATTTAATAATTTGAATTAATATTTAAATTTTTTAACTAAGCCATATACTTGAATTAACGTTATAAACTTAAGAGGACGAATGTCGCGATTTTACGATCGTTACGGTCGTTTATTTACAATGAACATAATTAGCGATTCTACATTGAACGTTTAAATTCAGTTAAAGTGCATCTTTTTCCTATTTAGAAAAATTAGTGTTTGCGATACAATTATTCATCGGCATTATTCTCTACAGTCACACCCTTAAGCATTATTCTGCGAGGAACAGAGTTAAGTCTTACCGCTGATATTTTCCTTGAAATAAGAAGCTATTTCGTAAATGTTTTTGCTCTTTAAGGTAGAAACCAAGCGATCCGACAATCGAGACAACTTATTGGGCGTTTTCTTAGCTAATTACAACATAGAAATAACATAGACTGTAAAATTAATAAAAAAAAAAAAAAAAAAAAAAAAAAAAAGAAAAAAAAAAAATAATGTTCATGCGCTGTTAAAAAGCTTGACAAAAGTCGATACAACATTGATGCAAACATATATGGTGCTAAAGACAAAGTATTTTATCGTACATAAATAAGGGGGCGGGGTTTTAGAGAGAGAGAGAGAGAGAGACATGAAAACAAAGTGCAACACAATATGCTGTAGTAGAACTGCAATGGTATCGAAATATCAAAATACACGTGGAAAGGGGCTATCGATGTTATAAGCTTTAGTCGAATTTAACATAAATTTAGCATAAATTAGAGTACAATCAGCAATTGAATATCAGTAGCGCAACGAGTCAATGCACCAATGTCAAATAATAAATCTCGATTAATTAAATCTCTTAGCCAACAGTGTAAGAATGCAACGATATATATATATATATATATATATATATATATATATTACTACCATTACAGTTCTCGCTCGGATTTTTACAGATAACGACCGAGCAACTGGCATCGATCAATGCAGTGCTCGTCTTTACGACACGTAGCTTGACATAAATTTTGTAACTTAGGGTCATTGTCGACTGAAGAAACGTACAGTCAAGCCGCTTCCGAAGTACGCACCAAGCTAGCGCTGCGATCCAAATGTTATAGCAATTTTTAGTTAGTAAAGTGTGTCTCAAGTCCTCTAATACATTTCATAATTATTTACATGTTTTTATTACTTTCAACAAATGTTATGTTTGACGTAATGATAAGATGACAATGTCGTTCATTTAAGTTAAGAATAAGGTATTTAACAGACCAGGCGACAGGTAATTGGCATCGGCAGACTTGCCACTGCTGTCGTTGCACTCTTCGAGCTGTTGGTACATTACGAGGTGCGACCAGAGTCCGCTTTTCCCCTGCTTATTTTGCAAGCCGTGGCTCCAGACTCTTTCGAGCAGGTCGCAGAGACTGGCCACTAGGGTGTTCTCCTCCACGTCGGATAATGACTCGCCGCCGTGGCCTAAGGCCGCGGCCTCCGAGCCCATCTTCTCCACGAGCATTCGCTTGGTTTTCGCCTTACAGTCCTGCAAGCGTAATCTGATGCAACGAATGGGGCGACGATGCGGAAGGGGATTCGATACGCGAGTGTATCGCTCGCTTATCAAGATAGATGGCGAAATCAGTAAATTCGGCGTGACGCGAGAGCAATGTCGCAAAACCACTTGCCCTACCGAAACCATTCCGCCTATTTATTAAAATCCCCGACAATCGCATTCTAAAACAGCACAACACCACGCGATTCTTTATTCTTAATCTGCCGACTCTTTAGGCAATCGCTTCTTCTCTTTTCGTCTCTTCACCCCGCTCATCGCGCCTTCCCACCACCGTCACCCCTCCCCCATTCCCGAAACGGCCCACAGAATTTATCAATAATTGGTTCAAATTACTTTGAGTAAGGTTTCCACGAACGTCCAATTGGCTTGTGCGATAAGAGCTGGACTCATGTCGGCCGAGGAGAGCTTGGCCTGAGGTCGAGGCGACAACGTCTCTTGGACCGTTGCCGGCTTCCCATTAGATTCGAGCGACTTCATTTTGTACTTCCACTGCGTCTGCCCTCTCCTACTGCTGCATTCAAAATGAATAAATCACGCGTAAGTGACTGGCTTACGAGTCGCACGGTGCATAGACGCAACACAAACATCGATAATAATCATTGAACGGTTCTTACCGAAGCATACTGTACAAAGCGCAGCGGATGAACATAATAATAATAATAATAACAACAATATGTTAATAATGTTTTGTAAGGCAATTATTGTGCGATTGGTTATTTATATGTATGTTGGGCGATTGTTAGGGGGTGATTGTTACATTATGTGGCAATGGTAGAGATTGTTTTACCTTTGGGTCGGCTCTTTATTTAAAGCGACGTTATCTAATAAAGGAAAGCTGCGAAAGTAAGCTGCTCGGTGAGGTATGACTTCCGTAGGTGGATTAACTTCAAAGTCCACGTTGTTAAGCCTCTGCTCGATAACGGTTTGCGTTTCCGGTACGGTGGTGCAAATTTCGTAACGAGTCGATCGAACGATACCTTCGCCCACTCGTTTCCTATTGACATGACAATTGACATGACAATTGACAATTGACAATTTGGCGGATGGCTAAGGCTTTGCGACAGATGATAAGATTGATAGATTAAGAAAGAACCGCGATGGCCTTTCTCTACTCACTTTAATTGCCCGACTCTCTTGTCGAATAATTTTATGCTGGAATCGAGCTCGTTCCACATCGACATGACTTTGCTATCAACGAGGGAGGCAAACATTTGCGTCTCGATGAAACGCGATAAGAATGGCAAGTGATGAGCTGGCTGTTCGGAAAGGAACGTTGCTTTATCAAATAAGTGCATACTGTCACGATTATTTAGCCACTCGTCCTTGTCCTGAAAGCATAATGTTTGGTCGTTTGGTTAATAATGGGGGCCGATGGGAATAGGCAGAAGCTTCGTAGATTACAACGAGCACACCTTGCCACACCTTGTCACCTTACCTGACTCGGCTGGATAATGAAATGCTCGTAGCTGGAGAACAATTGGACAAAGCGATTTAAAAATATTTCCCTTATCGCATTGTTGAAGACCAATGTCTCTTGATACTCCTCTTGATTCGTCAGTACTTTGCCTTTGGGCGGATTTTCGATCGACTCGATGTCCTCTACCTCCACGCCTGAAACACAATCGCATAGCCGAGCGTTTATTTAATTAACCTTGTTTATTTATTTAACAATTAATGACTTACCCGTTCTTTTAACGCTCTCGAGGATCCTCTGGATCGCGTCGGATTGTGGAATCGAATCTGATCTATCCCAATCCAGTATGTCGTGCAGCGAGTGCTTCCTCTTTGGATAATAAAATCCCGATCCAGGAAGAGTCAGGCTGCTCGTCATTATGTCACCGCCGTTCAAGTAGTTGGCAAAGATATTATCAGTCCTACGCAAACAACACACGTCACATCGTCGTCCTACTACGCAAAAGCTTAGCGAATTCGCTAAATCGCTAAATCGCTAAATCGCTAAATCGTTATCTCAGACTAACAACGTTTCGTTAATTACTAACTTTTCTAAATACGGAACTTTGTACTTGTGCAAATAGGTTCTAATTTCATCTACGAACTGCATCTTATGCGGGAACACTGGCAATTCTTCGGGAAACTGGCTACTCTGCTTATCGATGTCCACGTAGCACAGATTAGCCTGAAAAGTCATATTATAGGAGAGGGCTGAAAATGCCGTAAGCTCGGGCTCGCCGAGTACGCGATCATAAACGTCCGGTTGATCGATAAGTCGACCTTGGCCACCCACCTCGCTGGCAATTTTCAGGAGGCCGGTGTCGTTGTGCGCGTGCAGGCCCATGATGAAGGGCACGGGAGCGTCGAGAAAATGATAGAGACTCGCGGGCAGAATGGGCACGTAGACGTGCTGCCAGGAGTAGGGGAAGAGCAGGGCGGTGATGCACTCGGACACGACCATGAGCTTGTGAAAGTCCGCGCTGCGGATGAGCACTTGGTTCTCGAGCAGGACGCAGGTGAAGAGCTGTATGACGCAGTCGATGCCCAGCCAGCCGAACACGTCCTTGAGGGAGTAGTCGAGGAGGGGCAGCTCCTGGCTTAGCTGGGGCTGGTGGATGACGAGCTCGAGGGGCGACTTGGCCGGCTCCTCGTTCGGCACGTAGAACTTGAGGGACTTGCCCGGGAGAGGTGTCGGCACATTGTACAGCAGGTTATAGACGTAGGATTCGAGGCTGAAGCCAGGCCCGGGATGACGAGGAACGCATCTGCGAGTGAATTGCATTATTTTTTATTAGTCTAGCCGTTCTCTCCTCCTTAATCTCTTATTATCCGAGGCTTTACGACCACCCTGAATCCTCGTCAGTGGCCATTGATTATAAATTGTCGAATATGCGAGGGCATCTCGTAGTCGATTGCACACATTGTTTCTCCTTTTTCATCCCTCAATATCCCACCCCCAATATCGAGCGATACCGAAGTTTGTACCCGGTGCAAAATTGATTGCTTGCTACATAGTTGAAACGGATGTGGTGGAGGTATATTACGGGATGTCGAGAGCACGCGTGCGTATACGGAATTTTACATATTTGTTTGCGAAGGAAGAATTTGCCTGCAATGGTGAGTTAATGTGAATCGTGTGTAGACATTAATTATTCCCAGGATTATATATATATATATATATATATATATATGTATATATATATGTATAAGGCAGTGTGGTAATTAAGGATATTTTTTAGGATTAGCGGACGTTTGTTTATGTCGAGCGGTTTTTGGTAAATTTAACGTCGTTAAATAAGAAAAAAAAAAAAAATAAATAAATAAATGAAAAAAAAAAAAACGACCAGGCAGACGGATTCATATGTTATTAAAAATTTTGTTTTTATTTGTGCGGTTATCGTAAAAAATTTTATCATTTACCATGAAACGCAAAACTTTGCCAATTATAATGTTAACGATCGTTATCGATATCGTATGCGTTCAACATTATTACGATACTTTATCTTAAACAATGCATGGAATTTCCAAAGTTATATAAGCAGAATTAAAAAATAGAATATTCCCAAAATGCATTGAGACATAATTTACTTGATAAGCGCGGCTTTACGATTAAACCTGTGCTTTGAAACCATCATTTACATTTATTAATTAACTTTTATTTTTTTTTTTTTTTTTTTTTTTTTTTTTTTTCTAATAGAATTTCCACGAGCTAATTATACAATTGCTTGATTAATAATTAATTGAATAACCAACGAATAATATAATTAAGAGGCGAGTCATAAGTCTGTAATTATAGAAGCTCCTTCCTCGCATTCTATATTTTCAATATCAGCACACTTATGTGACAAGTTGAGCTTGAAATAAGAGGAGGATGCGAGCAAATAAGCTCGGATGAATATTATAAAAATACGCAAGAGTGGCGTTCTTACCCAAACAAAGTAACGAATGCCATTTAAACAAATACAAAATGCCATGAGTAGTTGGGGGAGAAAAAAGTCCAAGTCACGAATAATGAATCGATTGAATAATGGAAAGTACGGTTTGTTTAAACGGGAGCGGGACAAAACTAAATTCCAACGATATAACGATTACGTTATATCGACAGACGTTACAACGTTCGCCAACAGTTATCAACAATTTAAAGTATTACTTTGGCGAAGAGTGATGCAAAAACTCGGGCCATTATAAAAATGAATAATTATCAATGCATACTCACTTATACAGATTTGTTAGGAACATCTTGGCAGCATAGAGGTACGGCTGCTGACAAATGAGCGATATCGATTTAGTAACTAAAAGTTTATCTTTGGTCGAGTCGTAGTAGGCTAAAGCGGCCGCGGCAGAGTGCGACGCTAATTTAAAATGCCTAGGTAACGATCTGGTATTGTGTCCATCTTGTCCTTTGCGTGGCCTAAAAAGTAAACATCTTTAATTTCTGTCACGTGATTTTTTTTTTGCACTTGGCAAGCTACAATCGACTTATTTAATAAAATTATCGACTTACGGTCTAAACTTTCACGATTACTTGAGACTCAACCTTATTTATATAATTAACGAGTACGAGTGTAAAGAGCAGCGATAAAAAATTAACTGCAAACACGTACGAAAAGAAAAAGAAAAAAAGGAAAAGAAAGAAAAAAAAAAAAGAAAAAAAAAAGGGAAATCTTTGCATGTTTTCATGTTATGCAAAACGTTTTATTTATTAAAATCAAGACTAAAGCGAACGCTACGATGAATTTCAATTGCCTGAAAGGTAGAAAATGCAGTTCGCGTATTATTATTATTATTATTATTATTGTTATTATTATTATTATTATTATTATTATTATTGTTATTGTTATTATTATTATTATTATTATTCGAGTATTATATTCGTATCTCAATCGAGGAATCCAATGAAAGTGTGAAATCGGCGTCAGCGAGCAAGTGCAAAAATACGCATTTGCTCGTATCGCGATATAAGTCGTTCATTAATATAATATATCAAATAATGTCGCCGAACGGTTGAAGCGATCGTTAAGGATCGGATTGACGGTGGTTTTGCGACGATCGTAATGTTTATTAATCAAATACGCGTCTAAATAGCCGTTAGATTATTAACGAATGCAAAAATAAAAGGAGGGACATTTTATGGATAATCGAGCAAATTACAGGCAAAAAGGTGCTGCTACTCGACATAAATAAATTGAGAGAGAAAAAAAAAACAAAAAAACAAAAAAAAAAATTATATGAAACTCACTGGGGTGGTGTGCCGTTTTGGCCGCTGCTCAGCTCCGTGATGAACATCGCCTGGAGAGTCTGCATGGCCGCGCAAATCTTACGGTTACGGCAAGCCATAAGTCCTGTGGCCGTCCTCTTTCGTCAGGACGAACGAATGGAAGCTCGGCTCGACCGAGTGCTTCTGCGTGCGGAAGCGCAAACCGCTGGGCAGGCAGAGCTACGATGACGTACGGTCAAGCATAAATCGTCTGGTCTTAGTGCGCCATTTATTTTGCGCTAATAGGCCGTCTGGGTGTGATTTTCATCGGTGAGATGTCGTGGTTTCCGTAAAAGCTTAAGCAAGTTGATTCGGGACCTCGTATCCGAGCTTAAAACCATATTGCCTCCCTCACCCATCCATTATCCCGATTGATTGGATTCCCTTTTGGCATATTACGTATGGCTAAGGGATCATCGCGATAAGAGGAGAGGCGACGATATCCGATCGGACGGGTATTCGGTTGTGAAATGCGATATCGAAAGTCGAATTTTAAGGGGAGTAGCGAAATTGGAATGGGATGTTGGATTTCTCGATTATTATAATGCACATTACTGACTCGTCCATTATAAAAGTGCAAAAACTTCGCGAGGGAATTTGCAATGTTGCTTGGAAGGATGAGGGCGAGAGAGGTTTCCGCGAGGTCGTTAAAATACAGATATTAAAAGTGTATTTATAGAAAGATGATTGAAAAACGGTATTCAACTTTGGAAAAATTAAGCGAATAAAGTGGCGGCGCCAACAAAAAATAAGAAGATATTAAAATTATCCATAGTCGGGCGGGTGGGAGGGGGAGGGGGAAGGGTTGTTGTTGTTGTTGTTGTTGTTGTTTTTTTTTAAATTACTCGTCATCGACGTTCTCGTCGCAAGTTTTGAACCTATAAGTGACCGCGATGGATCAAGACAAAGTCAATGGAGGCTGCAAGCTACTTTAGAGCAGCTCCACACTCTTCGGAAAAAACATAACTTTTTGCAATGCCGGAGATGCGCTACGAGCGAGATACGCGCACCCAGCAGCCAATTTATTGGCTTGGCTCGGCACGATTTTATTCCTAATTTTTCAAATAATGAAATCCGCGATACGACCGATACGCACCTCGGCTTGATCCTAGGATCGACGATAAAAAGATAGGTGTTTGTCGATCTCGCACGGGCACGAGGATGGGCGAGTCCGTTCTCGGCGACCAAGAAACCGCCGAGCGCTTTTTCCAGACACAATGAATTCGGGAAGCCAATGACTTGCTATAAATCTGACAAAGCACCGACTATTCTTGGGCGACATTTTTCACAAATCAGTTAAGGAAAATGGCGTTAATAAGATTTATTTGGACCGAGATACGAGATACGAGAGCGAGATAGTAAATGGAATCGTAAAACGAATGGGATTAATCGTAGCTATCGATGGGGGCTTGCAGACGTAAAAAGAGAAGCCTATTGGAGGTGGCCACTATTTCTGCGCGCGTCCCTGCTTAATTAATCGGGTCTGGCGGAAGTCAAGGAGCCGAGTGTATTATTTCGGGCTGTGGGAGAGGGCGGTAGGATGGGAACGGTGATGGCGATGGTGAGGGGCGGGGGCGGGAGGGAGGGAGGGAGGGAGGGAATGATGAGTCACGGTTACGGGGGCTGCCTAGTCCGCGGGTGGGGCTTTACGTATCAACAGCTGATCGATACGAGGAGTGGGGTGGGGAGGGGGGGGGGGGGGGATAACTCACCATGCAGACCGCGTGCTCGTCGAAGGAATTCCATGGCACGGCTTCCGGGTAGTGGCCGAGTACTTTGCTCTTGTAGGCTCGGTCCAGCGGCGTGCACTGCAGCGAGTCACCTGCGAACATTCACGGGAGGTGTTTGCATTAGTATTGGTCACTGGAAGTCGTATAATTAAGACGGGCGGGGTGGGAGGTGTAGGGCACGAAGCTCGAAGAAACGGCGAAGGAGTCGCGCGGATATCCGTCTCCGAGAGGTTGGCGCCGGCTCTTGATAGTAGCCCGGGGGGTGGGCCGAAATTTGAATCGCGGCCCCATTTGCAAATTTGTCATTGAATTGCGACCGCGTCGCACGCGCGCTACGATCGCACGTCGTCGTAGGGTTTTCTCGAGTAACGTATGCTGGCACGCTGCCAGGCTAGTTCTTCCACACACGCACACACACACACACACACACACGCACACACACACACACACACACACACATACGCGCGCGCGCGCGCGCATCCCCCCTCCCTCGCCCGTTCCCACCGCGTCGCCCCATCATCGGCGGTAGCCCAAACTCTGACTTGCCAGACTTTTGCCAACCTCTCCCCCTTCCGTCTGGAGCACGTTGTTCGCTTTATCGCAACTGTTTCTGGCACGTGTCATTGGTACTCGGTGCCACCGCTGCTGCCACCGCTGCTGCCACCGCTGCTGCCACCGCTGCTACATAGCCGGAGCCTATAAATGACTGGGATTTTACGTTTGCAAGTACTCTTGCGGTCGAGAGGCCCACCGATATCGGGTGATTGTCGCGTCGTTTCTTCTTTATACGCACGAGTGAGTCGAGCGCCTTTAATCAATGGATAATAAAGGCGTTGAAAGCTGACGATTAATGATTATTCCAGTTAGAGTTCATAGGTATATTATCGAGTGTAATTAGTTTATAAGATTGCGTAATTTCGTCGTTAATGGAACTCGTACTTGCAGTCGTGATTTGTTTGTGTTGATTTCTTCAGGGCACGATTAATTGCGAAGTTTCGATGTACGTTGATTCGTGAGTGTGAAAATAATCGATCCAGTGAATTACTCTGCTAAGTTGAATTGTAATTGATATTTTGAGGATATCACAAATTCTGAATAGATATGAAATTTTATGATTATTTAACTTGTAATGATACAAATAACAATAATAATAATAATAATAATAATAATAATAATAATAATAATGACTATGATTATGTTTCCTACAATGGATTTGTTATATATTTGTCCATATTTGTGTATTTCGTTTTTAATAGGATTTATTATTCGAAAAGTTGACGGTGAATTTTCGATACGAATGTATGCTTACAGAATCATCAACAATTATCGATAAAGTTTTTTTTTCAATGTAATCACTCGTAAGTCCAGTTAATATTTCCTACACTCGATCACTAATACGGCAATGGCTTTTAAAAACATTGCACTAATAGTTGAGAAGTATGGTGTCTAAAATTAGAAATTGTAAATCAAATTGATGAAAATATGTGACTTGCTAATTGCACAAGTTGTTCTTTTATAAAGACCAGGGATTAATTAATCATTATGGCATTATAAAAGTACCAAGTAATTTCATTTTGAGAAGAAAATATTTAAGAGCTTAATAAAATAAAACTTTTTTTTTGTGCGACGATTATAGCCAATTGTTTAATTAATATAATAAGAATATTATATTGGCAATTGTGTAGGTAAGATAAATATAAAAATTAAAAATTCTTTAGCAAAGATATCGTGGAATCATTAAGAATTTAATATATTTTATTGGATATTCATATTAGCGCGGACAAAATAACTCATTAAATACTCTTTAAATCAATATTATTATTTCTTAATCACTCTATTTTCGCTTAATACTAGACACGTTATATAAATGTCGCGAGTGTTTTGTCTTTCTTTTTTTTTTCTTCTTCTTTTTTTTCCATTACCTATCATCAGTGTAGGAGTTCCGAGGAAACGATACGTATATTAAAACATCGATCGAACGACCGTTTAAAATCTTTATTCTACAAATTACTTATACAAAACCAGGGCATTAAAATTAAAATGGCTTGCAATTCACATCTTATTTCGTATGAATAAATATCATTAATTGCTTTTATTTTCATTGCGATTAATGACAGTGAAGACTCGAGTGTTTTCAAATAACTCTGAAAATGTAAAACCATCGTGAACATTTTTGGCTAACAAAATTCCTTATTCGTTCGAAGAAAAAGATTAGTTGCCAAATATCTAAGAAATTTTTTATAACGATTGTGGTTGGAATAGATGCAGCTACATGGTAAGGATATAAAAAAATTTTCAATACTCAATCTGCTTAAATCGTGCGATATTCAAAATTCCCATAATAATTTATGCCAATCTTTTACTTAATCACATTTAGCAGTTTTGCAAATACGCGACTAAACAACGACTAAACGATTCCTTACAATACACAATTCGTCATCGTTTCAAATCTTTAAGCCTACCGAGATTTGTAACAATACATAGCCTTTCTAGGGATGCCTAAACGCTAATATTTGAAACTTATCGATGTCATGATATTAAAAATTTTAATTCAAGAAAAAATAGAGCGATGTACCGATTGTTGAAGACACACGAAAGCAAAGGAAACGAACCAAGCCAGAAAAAAGGAAAGAAGAAAAAATTGGAGCGGGAGGGGGGTGGGGGGGGGGATGGGTGGAATGACAAATACCGTACAATATAGAAAACATAATTCTCACTTTGCGGCGAGTCATACGCTATACAATTGATGTTTACGTTGGAAAAACCGTTTTAGATTCATACAAGTTACTTGAGACACGAGACGAGTTATCCGACGCCCTCAGGCATCGCTCTATCCCCACAAGGAACACGGTCCGATATTCTTATCCGGATCCGCTTAGAGGTTTATTGAAATAGTGCACGAGCAGCATTCGCGATCCATCCCCGATAAGTCTCGTCGTTTCCAGGGATTGCTGCGCACTAGAGTATTGTGGATTATTCGCGAGCGAATCCTTCCATCCACGGCACACTCTGTGCAAACTTGATTAGGCTCTTCCTCGACACCACCTGTCTCCTCCTCCCCGTACCGCGTGCCCTTTTTCTTTTCTTTTCTCTTTTTTTTTTTTCTTCTTTTTTTTCCTTTTTTACTCTTACTCGGTTAATCAAAGGAGTAGTCACAGCTCGCACATCGCTCAATTTTCATTGTCCTCTCTAATCCAGCGCGAAATAATATCGAATTGCTTAGGAAAGTGAACGAGACTCGACGCAACAATAATTACAATAATATCTACTGCTCTTTTGACGTACTACGCTCTGGTTTCGCTCGCTCCTACTAGGCCAAACCTACTTTCAAACATTTAGAGAAAGTCGCGTTTGATAAGCCCGCCATTGCTGATTCTTATCTAGCGTATTTGCCATACCGTAAATAACGCACACACATAAAATTGTTACGAAAGTAAGCTACTTCTATTATCCTTCGTCCATTTATAAATTAGCCATATCTGTGCATAATAATTATAGGGTATTAAGTATAAGTATACGAAGGCGCGTAACAATAGTTTAGATATTAATAAATAGGCCGATAGTAGTCGATTTTACCAATGTAAATGGTGAAGGATTTGAAATGCCGTAAATAGTTAATGAATTACATCGATCTACATCTAAACTATCCAATTTGAAAGTAGCTTTTTCCCTCTTTTTTTTTTCTTTTTTCTCTCTCTCTCTCTCTTTTTTTTACATTTAAGCATTTAATACCGAGATTACACTATTTGACTTGGTAACGCGATTACCAACCTCATTATAAGCTTACTTTCGCTCCCGATAATTACAAGTTAAACAGAATTCTCGTGTTTTTGCAGTGCCACAGTCTCTCTCTCTCTCTCTCTCTCTCTCTCTCTCTCTCTCTCGACATTCAAAAATTCTCAAAGCCTACGTCTGTCTATCGCCTACGCGAGCTTCCCATCCGCTAATCTCTAATCGTTCGTTCCATATATGCTTTATTAACTTTTGTCGAAGCTATAAAACGATTGGCGCGTGCAGCAGCGCATAAACGCCGTGAATTGTTTTGACCTTTTATCGACTCGGGGCCTAATGATAAAGTTGCCTTCTTATTTGGTCTGTTGTTGTGAGAAATAAATGGTTGGTTGTTTGTATAATCCATTTACATTTATGTCCAAGAGTACGTTTGCTCGAGCTGCTTGGATGCTGTAGGGCTGAAAATTATGGTATTTTCTCTCTCTCTCTCTCTCTCTCTCTCGTCAAAATTGATTTTATCCGCAGGGAATGACAGTCAAAAATATTTTTCCTCCTATTGAAGTATCGTCGAGTGTAGAGTGGAGTAAGAGAACTTTGATTGTCGCTGTAATATTTATAGTTTGACGGAAATTATTATACGACATTACACGTGCACTATGAACCGGCGTAAATGGACAGATTAATTTCATTGTCGATTAAGCAACGATTATAAGCAAATGTATAATAATAATTACTCTTTAAAAAGAAAATTTTTTATTTTTTTTTTATTTTATTTTTTAGTTTTGTTTTATATTGTTACAGGTATCCTGTATTTATTCTTTAATGTATAAAGTGCGTTGAGATGCAACTAAGTAACTAAATTATAATAACATTTTTTTTTTTTTTTTTAATACCAATGCTAAACCAATTTAATGGAGCGACTTTTGCCCACAGATAAACAGCCCGAAAGGGACTTCAAAAATATCTCGTAGAGCATAAAATTTCGCGTAGAAAAGTTTTATCTATCGCTTATGTAAGTCATTCGAGGAATATTTGTAGTACTCTTATAAATTTGAATATTATAGAATAATATGGAATAAGATGTAATAATATAGTAGTTTTAACAAAGAAAGTTTAAAGTATTTCATTTATAATAATGATAATTTTAATACGACGATAGTAATAAGCAGAATAGTAAGAAGGACGACGATGTCGACAATGCCAATGCGTGATCAATGATAATAATACGAAATATTTAAAGGCACAGATTTAAAATCACAAATTGCGTGCACGCGCAATCGTAAACAAAAATATTATCGTAGGAAAGTGACATGTGCGCACATTATATACGTCGTGTGAAAGATTAATTATTTTGGCGGAC